GCCAGGTCGCCGAGGAGCTGACCGGCGGCAAGATGGAGGACACCCTGCCCAGGTAGTTGACTGTTTGGTCTGGTCATGTGGCCTGCCTGCCTGCCTGTTTGCCTGTCTGCCTTGTCCGCTCGGCTGGCTGGCTGGCTGGTTGTCTAGCTGGCCCCGCTACACATGTTCAGAGTACTCGGCCAGCTGTACCTACATACCGACTTCCGTACATGTTCCTACCCTGGCTGCTGCCTCCTCTCCGCACGGCTCCGGCGTCGTGCGCGGAAGGATATCCGGCGAGTATTGAGAGCGGCCAATGCGGAGGATGACGAGCGGATGTGATAAAGTATAGCTAGACGCCAGCCAGCAAGGAACTCCCACATCGCGTCGCTGGGGTCCATTATCGCCGGGTATGCATGCAATGCATACAGCTACGAACAAACGAACATCGGTCACATCCACTTTCCAATGCGCTCCATCAAACAATCAATCAGTCCATCAGTCCATCCTGTATGATATGTACTTTATTTAAAATAGAAAAACACGGTTTATCTCGTTTGTGCTCTCTGAAAACCCCCTAAAGGGCCATGAACGCGCCAGACGCCTGAACTCGATTTGATGCCTCTGATGAAGTGGTGTCCAGCCGCGGCGAGACCCGATTATGCAAAGCTAAAGCGAGGCAAGAAAAGATGCAGTTGAGATTTGAGACGCAGAAGTAGATACTTGAAATGACATAGAAGCTACACCCCACGCAGCCCTCAAACGCTCTCATGGGGCGGGGGGAGTCAGTCGGTCTATATGTTCACAGCCCAGCACGCGGCAAGAACCGCATTCTACCTAACCTACCGCCTCTCGATCAGCAGCACGTGCATCGCCACGTACGCCAGGACGATGAAGACGGCGGCGAAGATGCCCAGGTTCATCACGTCCATCCACTTGGCCCCGTTGTCGAAGCCGAAGGTGCTCAGGATGGCGGCGCCGGGGATGGTGATGTCGAGGCCGTACTTCTTGTCCACCAGCGTGAGCTTGATGGCCTCGTTCACGATCAGCGCCTCGAAGCCGTAGTGGAAGATGGACATGGACTGCAGCCACAGCGCCGCGCCCGGGATGGCGTCGTGGTTGAGCAGCAGCCCGGCGAACAGGAGCGAGAAGAGCATCACCAGGCTGCCGATCAGGTTGGCCACGCTGCCGTCCTTGAACACGATGCCGATGAAGAGGCAGATGGCTGCCGCCGCGAGGTTGAAGAGGACCAGAATGAGCATGAAGGTGAAGAAGTGCGGCGCATCCGGGATGAGCCCCGTCATGGGGTAGATGATGGCTCCCATTAAGATGGGCGGGATGATCCTGAGCGGGATGATGTCGAACATGACTTTGGCGACAAAGTACGTGATGGGTGAGTAGTAGCCATTGGCTCGCTCGCGGACGAACAAGAGCCGCTCTGAGGCGAACACGTTCAAGCTTGTCAACGTGCTGAAGCCAAAGAGGGCAAGAAGGAAGAAGAAAAGACCGAGGCGGTTCTGGAATCCGGCAATGTCATCCGTCAGTCCGTAGAACAGATAACCGGAGAGCACCGCGAGCACGATGGCGATGGCATAGTGGGTGAGCATCAGCAGCGGGTTGCGGTAGAGATTCTTCCACGTCCTCTGAGAGAGGATGGCGAATTGGCGAAGATACCCGACACGAGCATAGCCACGTCCAATCGCATTGCTGCTGGCACCCCCTGAGGCATGGCCGTTTTGGCCGTTGACTTCTGTAGCACCAGTCACCGCTTGTTGGATCTCATTGTGGATATTATTCGCAATGTTCGAGTCGGTGTATGCTTGGACAAGACCGTCCAGATCGGTGTCCGCAGATGGCGGTAAATCGTGGACGTCCTCGACGATGATCTGCGGCGGGACAACCCCAGCAGGCTGCTTGTGCAGTTTGTAAGCCCCGCCGTCATCTTCGGCATCAGATGATGTCGCCGTGTCCACAGCATTCTTCCGCCTCGTAAATAGTTCGCGTTCCTGTCGCGCCCGTATAGAGTCCTTGCGTTTGTTCCGGGGCCTACTCGTCGACGGCTCGGTTGAGCTGTCTTCTGCCGTGCTCGCACCCGACACGCTCGCGATCGACTTGACGGCCTTTGTGCTGCTTGGACCAACGCTCGCAAGATCGTGAGAGATGGAGCCATCATCAAACGCGCTACCAGTGCCAGCATGCATCGTAAGGTCGACGAGATAATCGGCGATGTTGAACCCTGGCGGACAAGAGTATCCAACATCATCGAAGTACTCCTGGCACTGCGAAAAGGGACCCGAGTACACTGTCTTGCCTTGGGCAAGGAGGATGAGACGGTCGAAGAGGGCTACAATGTTCGAACGCGGTTGGTGAATCGTGAATATAACGGTTCGCTTGTACGTCCTGGCCAGCGTCACGAGACACTCAATGACGTTGAAGGCGTTGAAGGCATCCAGACCGCTCGTGGGTTCGTCGAGGAAGAGGATCGAAGGGCTCGTAACGAGCTCGCAGGCTATTCCGACGCGCCGCTTCTCTCCGCCGGAGATGCCCCGCCCCCTGCCTTCCTCGGACCCGATCAGTGAGTCGCGGATCTGATAGATACCTAACTGTTTCTCAACCTCAAATACCCTCTGCTCCTTTGCCGCGCGGCTCATCTGGCGCGGAAGGCGGAGAAGGGCACTGGTCAGGATAGTCTCGTGGACGGTGAGGGTCGGAAGCATGGTGTCCTCCTGGTCGACAAAGCCGACCACACTCTTGAACTCGGTATCGGTAACCTTTTCACCGTTGACATAGAAATCGCCGCTTATCATGCCTCGTTTGTTTTTGCGGGCCAGGATATCTAGAAAACTCGTCTTGCCGGCACCCGACGCGCCCATGATAGCGGTAATCTCGCCCGGCGGTGCGACGCCGCGGATGCCGTTCAAGATCTGCTTGCCGTTGAGGCCGTAGGAAACGTTTTCGAAGTAGAGAGTTGCGGGCTTGTGGTCAGTCATCAACTTGGTAGCCTCGTCATCTGAGTCGTCCAGGTGGATGGGCCCGTATCGGTACTGGCGGCGCGAGAGGTACCAAGTCACCAAGATGACGGCGACGAGGAACAGAGAGCATCCAGCGATGACGCCGGCGATCAAGGGCGTGTTGATCTTCTTGATGGGTCGCTCCCAACCCGGAACCTCGGTGTGGTAGAGGCATTCTCCGGAGCGGCACTCCAACTCGATGCTCTTATCGCCGAATATAGCCTGTACCATGCCGTCGAGCGCCGGCTCCCTGAACTTGCACTTGTTGATGCCTCCATTCTCCTGCAAACAATTGAAGGTGGCGGGGCCGACGATGGACTGCTTCAGGAAATCAGTCAAGTCGATAGACCCCTCAGCTCCGCAGAGGAAGCGGTCCTGGATACAGCTGCACTCGACATCGGGACATTTGTAGGAGGTGCTGTTCTGGTCGGAGGTAAGGTCGGCGCTCGACTCGCAGTTCTCGAGGTGGCAATAGAAGGACTCGGCTTGGTCAATCCAGACTGGAACGATGTCAGATGGCATAAACACGGCGAAACGACTCACAACGAGCTCCTACTCACATTGAAAGTCGCAGAAGCCCGACTCCTTGTTGCACGAGAAAGTGGCCTCCGGGACCTTGCCGTCGAGCATGGAGAGGATCTTTTCGTTGGTGACACCACACATCTGGTAGTTGTTCTGCACGACCTCGCCATTCTGGTAGCAAACACCGCCATCGCCAGTCTCCATTAGGGCATCGCACGCCTTATTCTCGGTGCACACGTTGCAGTTGATGCCGGTCCAGCCTTCGTCGCAATCGCAGGTGGCGCCGCCGCGCCTCGGGCGGTCCTTGCCTCGAGAAAGAGAGCCGCATGCTGTGCTCCAGTCAGCATACAACGGAAGAATGGCGGAAGGCAAAAGGCAGTCGTACTCGGGTCCAAGCAGTCATCGCCGCCAAAGCCAGGCGGACAGTCGCATTTTCCGTTGAATTCGTTGCAGCCGGCGAACTGGCCGCACTCGTGCGCCGGCAGGAGACAGTTGAAACTATCGGCGTAGGAACGGTCAGTCAGTAGACCTAGAAGCACACACGCGAAGGGCGAGGGCCGCAAATGGGATTTTGGGATGTTGGGATATGGGCGTACCATGGGGGACAGTCAGAGGGCCGGTCGTCGAACAGCGCGAGCTGGGCGCGTAGCATGTCGACCTGGGTATAGTTCTGCTGAGCCGCAGCCAGGCTCGCCAGCGAGAGGACGGCTAGGATAGAACCGGGCGACGGCATGATGGAGGAGCTGTTGCCGCAAACTCTGAGCTTGTCTGGGGGTTTGATGGGACAGGACAGCAGTCGGCGCTGCGACGAGCGTCGGAGACCGGCTCGGCGACAGTGGGCGGCGACGGTAAGCTACAGTACGTACTGCACGCCACCCCACAGAGAGCCCAGGCCCTGGCCCTTTCTCCAACACACGTGAGTTCAGGTCAGGCGGCAGGACACGGCACCGCTAACACAGCTGAGCGTGCCTTGTCGTTTCTGCTGCTAGGCGGAGCGCGCTGAAACCTAGCAAGTGCGGGTGACGCATTCCCAGACTCAGGAGATACGGTAGGTAGGTGTTGTTGACGGGAGATGGAGGGACGAAGTCGGACGCCGTCGAGACGGGCAACGTCCTGGAGAGCTGGCGGTGGGGTCGCCTCGGTGTGGCACACGCTGGCCGTGTGGCTGTGGACATGGTGCAATGGGCGTATAGGACTAGCTCTTAGCGAGTCCTGTGAGTGGACAGATACGGGCACGATCCACGGCCGCCCGGGCCCGCCACTCCGCCTCCCTCATCCGCTCTCATTTGCTCAAAGCTGCTCGCCGAGTCTCGTGCTCCGTTCTCACTCCACAGCCCCAGTAATCCGCCCACCATCAGCCACGGAGCTTTTCCAAATCTCTCACCGGAATGCACCTCATTGGCCAGCGACCGCCACTGGTGCAGGACTGAAGAGCACACCACACGTCTCAGTATCATAGGTAGCATTAACGGCGCTTTTTCTCATCCAGGGCATGTGGTCTAGGGGTATGATTTTCCCTTCGCACTGAATTTCAAAGCGCGTCTGGGAAAGGTCCAGGGTTCAATTCCCTGCATGTCCAATCTTTTTCGTTGTATTCCAGTTGTGAAACATCACCTTTTTGACTTTTGACTACCTAATCAAATGTACCTCCTCGTGCGTTGGGCAGATCGCGTAATCGTCGTTGTTGTGGTCTTGAGAGGTAACAATCAGCTCATAATGACTTTCTCATTTAATACCAAATATCAAGCAGGCAGAGAAGTGTCGCCTGGGGCTGTCCAAATCAATCCTTTAAGTTAGGATTTTGTACTTCGTTGAGAAGTCCATAGCATCAAACTTCCTGTCAGCATAGGCTCAGCTTGATTTTGAACTCTTGCTCTTTCCGAAGAGTTAACCAGCTCATTGCCCGTAACTAATTTACTGCACGGCCCTGGTCAGGCTCCCCTCCCCCTTGTCCGCTCTTTGCGAACTCGTCGGCAGCTCACCAGCCTCTGCCTGCACCGACCGGTACGGTACTCGCTGCGCATCACCATCGGGGGCAAGTCGAGCGTGCTGGGTTTCGAAAAGAGGCGCTGTGCTCCGATCATTGTGGTCTCAGGGCCCAAAATAGGGGGTGTCTATTGCCCTGTGTGGTGGAGTTGCCCTCGTCTTATAGTATGGTCTGCGGCACAGCCACGCTTGGCTATACTGTTGCTCTCTCCCTTTATCCATTTCTTACTTGGACCAACTCGTAGTATCGTGAGATGTGCGGTGGACACGTTGGTCATGTACTCTGGGACCTAGAATGGCCAATGCTGTAGTCCGGCTATGCCGTTGCCAGCGCGGGAGAGCGCAAGGGACCCAAGATGACGGTTCAGTAAAAGCCGCAGAGTATGTTGCCAAGGTGCGCCAAGAATTGTTGTCCTTGTTGATTGAAGGCGGATGCAACTTCGACTACTCTCCAAGAACAGACTGCCGCGGGTCGAAGGGTCTAGTACAGCCGTCGCCTCACCTCATCGACGACGGCAGCGATGCTTACTGCACCGAGAATGAGAAGCTGCATAGAGATCTCGAGGATCCACCCCCACGGATACAGCGCCGGGTCCGCAATCATGAACACTTCGGGGGCGGGCAAGAGTAGGAGGAACAGGTAGCCGGCAATATATGCCGCGAAGGAGCCGTTCCAGAGCCAGAAGAGGAGGTTGAAGAACATTTGAAGGAACACCATCTTGTCGGTAGAGATCTGTGAGTCGGCGAAGGAGTGTCTTTTATGTTGAAATTGGGGGATGCAGGGTCAAACGGGGACTGAGTGATTATTATTTGGTGAGTAGATTATGATGTAGTCCAGCTATAGCTTTTAATCTGGGCGAACTCCATCCGGAGAATACAACAAGGAGTGCGGGTTAGTCTTAGGCAGAAACGTGCTCAATGTTGCCCAAATGTTGAAGGAGCCTAAACTCTGTAACTTTTCAAGCCCACCATCGCCGTCTTCAGCCAAGGCTAGGCTGACCATAATAGGTTGGTTCAGTTTTGGTTACAACCAACGAGACACAACGAGCAATTTCTTAAACTATTCTGTCAGTTGTATCATGAAGTCCAATGGTCCCTTAGATAGTCACTGCCATAATAAAACAACACGGAGAATGTAGCTTGCTCTATAACTTGGCCGAAGAGTCTTTTGGGGCACCTTCTTATTAGTGCAGTGGTAAGTACCAGTAATATAATTCTCCTTACCTCGATTTGATACAACAACAAGAAAAACTCTTCTTGTCTATTCATAGTTGAAATAGTGCCTCGATCATTAGTTCCAGTTTAGAAGAAGCCCAGGCTTGCTTTAGCTGATACTAGAGTGAGCTGCTTGTGTGTTTGCAGCCGTTCACTCAGCAATGCCGTAAAGTTTAACCTTAACTGAACTGGGCACAACTTAGGTGGCGAGTTAGCTGCTCGAGTGTTGAACTCATATTAAGTGCTCCGTTGATAGACACTCAGCGGTAACTTGAGCTACCGGTACATGATTACTATTTCCTTGTAGAACGATAAATTGTCAAATGCACAGCAGAACCATCAACTTTGATACTCCTCTTTTGGAAATCACCATCATTTCTTGTCATCAAAAGAAGTGGTCTCGACTACGGGACGGGTCTCCACCATATGGGGATAACCACTGTCCAGCTTCTCGTCGCCAAAACATCTCTCGGGTTCCTTACCAAGAGCTCCCATGTGCTCTGGCACTGTTCCTGGCTTTCAGGATAGACTGGAGGCACTCTCCAGAAACGAAGGATGGCGTAGTATGACACTCCCGCCGCCGCCGAGTACAGCGGCCAGCCAATATTGTACATGTGCTTCGCTGCCTGGTTGACAGCGGATGCATCGCAGCTACCCACAAGTCCAGGAATTCCAAGACTTACACCTACACACCACGCAATGACCGCGGGGATGTGGACGCCAGATGTGAACCAGTACAGTCCGCCAGTGCGTCCATCATACAGCGAAGGAACGTGGAGATTTCCTCGCCTCACCACGAAGTAATCGACGATGATCATCTGCAGAAAACGCGTTGAACTCGTCAGCACATGCGCTCTTGATACGACCGAAGGGAGGGAGGCAGGCAAGGTACGTAGGTTGTCAAGGAAAACAAGGATCAGAGTTCGAGCATCTCTCACTCACCGCGCATATCGGAGCAATGAAAATGTTATAGCTGCCCAGAAACGTGATGAACCTTTGAGCCGTAGCGACCAGCTGCCACGGCACGAAACACACGCTGAGGAGGGCACAGAGGAACTGGCCTCTCCTTATGGTCAGCACCCTGGGAAAGAGACCGTTCATATCTGCGCAAAACGGTATCGAACTGGCACCGACGTTCATGCCGAAGAGGCTGAGGAGGTATGTAGCTGAGGCGAGGAAGACCCCACCCCTGGCACTGGTAGTCCAGTGCCTATCTAAGATGCCTCCGTTCAGGTCCTGTGTGGGAGACAGAATTCAGCGCCGGGGACACATGTGCGGCGGCACAGGGGTCGGGGCTCTAGAATACCCAAAAGTTCCAGTACGTCTCGCCAACAGGCGCTCTTGCTCGAGCAACCGATAACCATTCGCGGACTTTCCACGGGCAAGCCCGCTCAAGGTCCAAGTGGGTACGATTCGGGCTCGGACCCGCGCCGGCGGACAGCGGCGGAGAAATGCCCGACGAGAAGACAGCATCGTCGGACGTGGACGGGCTAGCAGCGTCCAGGGTCCGCTACCTTGGATCCCATGTCCGCGGTCTACCCACAACGGCCAGAACAGCCCCTGGAGCTAGGAGTAAATATCAGAAAGCTGCAGACGTGGTACGACGCCGTAGATACCTACTTAGTCTGTAGATGGCGATATCCAATTCACATCACCACCATTCAGTCCATCATTTTGCCCACCACTCCACGACCGTATCCGTGTCTATCACTCACCGTCCCGAGCACGCATCAGCATCATGTCTTACGACCCCACGGCCCAAGAGCTCGCCACTCACACTTTTGCCTACGACGAGGGAACGCTGGACAAGCGGCTGGCGGATTTCCTCCAGCGGTTCTACACGCTCTCGGACGACCGGGAGCACGCGGACAGCTGGGCGGCCTGCTTCGCGGACGACGCGCGGATGAAGCGGAAGACGGACGACGTCGTCGGGCGCGACAGTAAGTACCTACCTACCTATAGTCGAGTCGTCGTCGACAGTCCCAATGACCCCCCCTTTCGGAGAAGAGGGAGCAAGCATAAAGTAGTTACTAAGAAGAAAGGAGATGGTGACTGACGAAAAACCACAGAAATCTCCGGTGTGAACCAGGAGTCGTGGAAGGGGCTGGCCGCGCGCCTCCACGTCGTGGAGAAGGTCTTCCCCTTCAGCGGGGGCGAGACGGATGAGATCATGCTCTACGGGAAGAGCCAGTACGACTACGAGGACGGGTCGACGGGCGAGATGCCGTGGTCGGCTCGCCTGCACTTCCGGCGGAGCCCGAGCGGGATCTCCATCGATTTCTACCAGGTCTATTCTGTGAGAAGAGAATCCCTTCCTTCCCCTGTTGTTCACCGGTGGCCTCGGTTCGGCGGATCTAGCTAGACTGACTTAAGAGCAGGGACAGCTGCAGAAGCCGAAGAACGAGGTATGAGGCGCCGACGGTCGGCTGGCGGGGAAGCTTCTGGCGGCGTGATGATATATAGGTAGAATCCGAGACTGACACGCAACATAATGTTACGTACCGGTTCAATCTTACCTAGGTACTTAGGTATCCTATCTCAAATGCAACTACCGAGCTATATCATCGTCCTCGTCCCAATCCGGATACGTGTACTGGATCCAGCGCGTCTCCTCTTCCGACGGCGCCCCCGCGTGCGTCACTCGTCCGCCGGCGGCCATCTCACGCAGCAGCGCGACGACGCGGCCCTGGAGCTGGAGGCGGGGCGCCTCGAGCTCGGCGGCGAGCTGGCGGAGCTCTTTGCCGGCCTCGGGGCTCAGGGCCCACTGCTGCGTCGGGTCGCCGAACTCGCTGACGGGGACCTCGCGCGTCAGCAGGTCGAAGACGTTGCGGAGGACGCGCGCCGGGTGCGTGGCGTTCCCGAAAGACGCCCCCCACCGGTGGGCGGCGTAGAAGTCGACGAGCGTCGCCGAGCAGGCGAAGAGCGCCTGGCACACGGCCCGGCCGTCGTAGAGCGCGCGCTGCAGGTGCGTCGGCGTCGCCCAGACGCAGTAGAGCAGGACGACGCCCGCCTGGAACTGGTGCACGAGCTGGAGAAGGAAAGAGAAGAAAAAGGAATCAGTTCCACGTCGTCAGATAGGGACCGGTAGGTAGCCAGCCGGGTTTGGAGGTGGGTGTACTAAGTACCGACTCACCGCTGTCCACGTGTGACACGTGAGGTGGTCCTTGATACGGAAACGGCGGAATGCCACGAGGACCTGGCAGGCCGCCGACACGAGATGTTTCGCATCCCCGCTCCGGACGGCCAGGTGCGGGTTGGGGTAGAGGGAGATGCGGGCGTAGTTGGCCAGCTTGAGCAGCCACATCTGCGACCTGAAGCGGTCCTGCGGCTCCTCCGAGCCCGCAGACAGCGCGGCGACATCGTCGCTCCATCGGTCCA